ATTTAGTCGCACCTCGCCCCGTAGCTAGCTCGGTAGTTTTCTGATATCCTACGTACAAGGCCTATAGGTGTCATTGGTATTCCCAGGTCTCTGAGTCCCCACGCACTCCCATATGCCTCTGAGTGGATTCATACCGCATTCGGACCCATTGTCTTGCCTGCGCCGTTACACTTGGGAATTAACCGAGAATCGCCTAGAACATTATAAAATCAAATTAAATATATTATATAGTAAATAGTAGTCTAAAATTCACAAAAATCTCCCTAGGTTCGCTTAATAACCTCCCCTGCTTAGTACTTAGTTTGCTAGCCCTAGGCTCTCTGTACAGCAGCTAGGCGGCGTGGCATAGACTCTATAAGCTTGCAAATTAGTAAATTAGGTATCTTTCTCTACACCTCTTTTAAAGCAGCTCTTAAAGCGTCCTAATCCTCTTATAACTTGCCTATAGTTTTAAGCTCTAGGTGTAGTTTATAGACCATCTTCTTTAGGGCCCACTAGAGGTGCTCTATTAGGTTAAGGTTAGGTGAATAGGGGGGCCATTTTATTGTCTAGATCCTGTGACTTTCTAAGAACTCCTGTACTCTTATACTATTGTGTATAGAGGCGTTGTCTTGCATAAAGATCTGTTTAAGTTAGTAATAAGGTAATAAACTCTCTTTTAGTGTTTAGCAGTAACTCTTACCTAAATAGCTATTATAAAAGGTGTTAGAGTCCCTCTCTATAATAACTAATTTACTCTAGCTAACGCTTCTGTTTAGATTAATCTAAATAGCCCCCTATACTATCTATAAAAGCTACTTCTTTATTTTCTTCTCTGTAATTATATTTCTATAATCTTTCTTATGCAGAAGACAAAAACACTACTCTACCTACTTGCTAGTACCCCTTTATATAAAGCACTTATTAGAAAACTTAACTACGCGCCTATGCTAGTTAAAGTAATAGTACTTTCTAGTAAAGTGTAGTTGTAGAGCAGCATAGCTGCAGTTTAATTTAGGCTATTTTTTGCAGCAGTAATTAGTTAGGCTATGCTTCTTAAGCACCTAGTACAGCGTACAGTTGCACAGGGGGTGGGTTTGTTAGGGGGAGGAGTCTAGTAAACTAGCTTCTTTTTAGAGGTTTTTATATGTTTGCTTAGAGTTTTTTCTAGTTAAATAATTATCTTCTTCTTCTACCTTAAAAGTACTAGGGGCCTGCTAGTACAGGGTAACAACTTAATAGTGCTGTGTTGTTACTATCTTTTAATAGTGTTGTATATTGTAGAGCAGGCGATGCAAAACATCTCTGTAAGTTTTAATAGTAATATTCTAGCTTCCTATTGTCTAATAATTGCAGACTGCGCCTTATTTAAAAGCTCTTTATTAGACCTGCAATTTCTGCTAATTTCTGTACTAAAAGACCTTCGCATGATAAAGTTGTAGGTGGTAGAGTGGTTGGTGGAAGTTTCGCGTTTCCGCGTTTTGGTGGGGGTGGCCCCTGCGTGTCGGGAGACTTTTGTCCTAGTACTGTACTCTCTATTAGAAGTAGTAGAAGATGCAATCTCTGCATTTTCTGCATTCTGTCTATAGAAGTTGCTTATAGTCTAGTTCTAAGCTGCAATAGAGGTAGTTTAGCATTTCACATTCTGTTAGTTCTTTATGCTAGGTGTTGTCTCTGTTCTTTTGTTCTTTCTACGTCTTTAGCTACTATCTAGCCTAATGCTTAATAGGCTAATGCTTAACACAGTACCTGTTTAAGTATAAGTACTAGAGGAACAGGCATTTCTTTAGATTTATGTAGACTATTACTATAAGCACCTAGTAATTACTATAGTAATTACTATTTCTAAAAATAGATATTTTATAGAAAAAGATTTTAAGTAGTAAAAGTAATAATTATTATAATAGTATATAATAATTCTTATGTCTCTAGTAATATATAAAGCTTTTTTATTTAAAAAAAACTATATAAGCTAAAAAAAACGTTAAAAAGTAATTACTATAATTTAAATAACTATAATATATATATAATAATAATATATAATAACGCTATATA